ATAAAAATAAAAACATTAAAATGATATATCATACTTATATAGTTATATACAGTTGGAGGCTGCAGAAAGCCACCCAGCAGCACATGACCCTGCTCAATAAATGTGGCCTGTGGTTGTTAAGAGCTATCAAAGAGACAGCACATGAAAGTGTTGCATATAAGGAAGTCATTAATCTCGTTGTCGGCGGGAGGGCATTTAAGGTGGCCTCCCCACTACTTGCTAAGATTGCAAGTTGGAGTCATCCTTGTAGCTCTCTGGAAATCTCACTAGTGCTAGATCTCCTCAAACCTACAAACTCCCTCTATTATGGCATCTCTCATCCTGCTCCTCTCTATTCTTCCCCTGACTCAACCTTCTTGCTCCCCTACATCCCAGGCTCCTCTCCTCTTCTCCTCTGTCTTTCTCTCAGCTCCCTCTGCCCTCCCCCCATGCTCCCAATCTGCTAAGGAGATTCTGTCCCCTCCCCTTCTCTAGGGTACCATGCATATCTCTCGGGTGTACCATGTGTATCTCTGTTTCCCAGACTCTCTGTCAGTGTAAGAGCAGACTGGCACTACCCTGGTCCATGTCTAAAATCCATATATGAGTGAGTACACCATGTTTGTCTTTTTGTGTCTGGATTACCTCAACTCAGGATGGTTTCTTCTAGTGCCATCCATTTGCCTGCAAATTTCAAGACTCCATTGTTTTTTTTCCCACTGAGTAGTACTCCATTGTGTAAATGTACCACATTTTCTCTATCCACTCTTGAGTTGAGGGATATCTATGTTGCTTCCAGGTTCGAGAACTTTCATTCAGTGACTGATGGAAGCAGAGGCAGACACACACAACTAAACACTGAAGTGAACTCCTGGAACCCAGTTCCAGAGAGGGAGGGGTGATGAGTAAAGCAGTCAAGACTGGGCTAATAATGAAACCCACAGAAACAGCTGACCTGAACAAAGGGGAGCTCATGGACCCCAGATTGATGACTGAGAGGCCAACATGGAACTGATCCAGACCCCTAAATTTTGGTGTCAGTGAGGAGGCCTCAGCAATCTATCGGGCCTCAGGTAGTAGATCAGTATTTATCCCTTGTGTACAAATGGACTTTGGGATCCCATTACACATGGAGGGATACTCTCTCAGCCTGGACACACAGGGGGAGGACCTAGGCCCTGTCCCAGATGGTATGACAGTCTTTGGATATCCCCCATGGAGGGCCTCACCCTCCCTGGGTAGCAGAGTGGGGATTGAGTGGGAGGTTGGGGGGATTGGTAAGGGGGCAGAGGAAGAGGGGAGGGAGAGGGAGCTGGGATTGACATGTGAAGCAAGCTTGTGTCTAATTTAGATTAATAAAAGAAAAGTGTTGCGTAACACACATGGATTGTTCCCTGTCCCCTGAAGTCCCTGGCTCCCTTCTTTCTTTGTACTATGCCCACTTAATCTGCTGTAGTTAATGGCAGTCACCTTGCCTATAAAACCCAGATGTCCTTTTATCAGCTCCACCACACCAATTTCATGAGGACGTAGATCCTCAGACTGGAATACCAACTTGTAAAAAGTGTGTTGAATTAGACTCTGGTTCTGATTGCAATGATCTGAGCCGAACAGAAGCCACAGATGATGCAGGGTGACTGGGGCCTTACAGCTTTGTGCATGACGTGATCTGGATGCATAAAACACGGACATCTTTTAATTTAGCATGTTTTCTCCCTCTTTTCACAAAACGAGATTCTTTTAATTAAAAACATTTTTTAAAAGTTCAGTATGTGTAATTGTTAGCACCTGCTATGTGTTACCAACAGATGTTTCTCACTTACCTAGGGGAACTGTTGTAATTATTCTGTAAGCATACTGGAATGGCATTTACCAAGATGGCTGAGAAAGTTTCATTTGTGACTCTGTAGCACATTGGGTTGGCTATTCTTTTTAAAAAATCCCCTCCCCCTGTTGCTTTTTGTTACCAAGAATCCACCCTGACCCAGATCACCAAAAGCAGAAATGTCCTTTGGGGCTAAGAAAACATTTCTAAACCTGGCATTGGTGGTGCATATATTAGTCTCATGGGGCTATTATCGAGATTAAACCTCATGTGTGCAAATGCACGGTAAGACTTACCTGTAAGTGTCATAAGAGCTAACTCAGACATCGTGCAATATGGAAGCCCTAAATCTTCATTATAAATGCATAACTGCGTTTTTCGAGAGATGGCATCCCTGTAACAGCTTGACTTCAAAGGAAGCTGTAGTGGAAATGGCTCTCTTTATTTTCCCGAGGTCTTAGAAGAAGCAGGCGCTCTGAATTCTTCATTCATGACGCTAATCACACAATTACCTACCGGCATGTGCTAAATATGAAACTGGTTTTAGCCAAATAACGGTTCAGTCATAAGCAATGAATAAGGAGAGATAGCTCCATTCATAACCACTGTTTCAACTGAGCTTGGTAGTAATCAAAGCAATCTGAGGGTGACTCATTAATTAATTGATGTTCTTTTTTATTATGTACTATTGAGTTAATGAGTAATTTGGGTGAGATAATTCTCTGAACACATCGATACTTGAGATATTTTCTGAGGCTTTCACACTAATGACACACTGAGTTGTTAGAAGACACTCATATCTGTCTTTTTCCTCAATGTATGTTTTTATTTAAATTAGAAACATGCATGCTTCACATGTCAATCCCAACTCCCTCTCCCACCCCTCCTCCCTTGTCCCTCCACCAGTCCCCTCCCCTCAGCCCCCAGCCCAATCCCCACATCATTCCCCAGGGAGGGTGAGGTCCTCCTTGGGGGGGATCTCCAGAGTCTGTCATTTCATATTTGTGTGCTCATGACGGGTAAATTGAAGATGAGTGTGAACAGTCAAAAAGACGTAAAGGACTGGATACATGAACTCTGTCTGCAGTTGTCCACGGGCAACCAAGTACACGGAGCAAGGCCTGACACACAGTAGGCCTTCAGTGGAATTCATCTGAAATGGTGACTGTCTCAATCCTTTGTTTATTTCCCTGAATTAAAATCACATTTTAAAAAAGGAGAAACGTTATAATGGTATTATAAAGAAAAAGTAGCGATCAAAAAGCTTTGGCTTAAATTGTATTCTGTGTTAATGGCCTATTACAGTAAACATGCAGATTGTTTTTGCAACTCACTGAAGTGAACACTGAACATGTTGGGTCTGCGTCATTTCTGTGAAATGGTGTAAGTGACGATTCAAAGAGCAATCTGCTTAAAGTGATAGTTAAAACAAAACTGTTCACGGATGGTATGCTTTACCGGAGATTCCATTGTCACCTCCCCGCTTCAATTAAGGCACCACGTGTCTTTCTTGAAAACACAGAATTTAGTTGATGTTTTTGTTTTCATTCATTTAGTCTGCTGACAGCAACACAGTTGTATTCAGCAAGATCACTTAAAATATATGTAAATGCACAAAAACGTCTTATCCAGCAATTGATACCTCCATTTTGGACAATTTTTTCCCCCTCACAAAAGTAAAATGGCAGAGAACCTCCTACTCCAGGGCTCTTCAACATTCATATTGGAAGGAGGAGCTAAGGTGCCTTCCTTATGCTTGGTGGGATCTAACTTGAGAAAGGCAGTTTTCCAGTTTCACATGATCATCGCATGCTTTCTTCAGACCATCTTTGTTTTTGCCAGTTAAGTGCGGTCAAGTAGTGGAGTGCCCTTTTATTGAAAACATGAATATGGATGTTTAGAAAAATGATCCGCAGTGTTCAGATATGTATCGGCAAGATGAATGTGAGATTGCAAACACCGGTCTACTGGTCTCCTCAAGGTACTGGTGAGGTGGTGGCCTGGCCCCTGATCCTGGGCAGGCTGCAGTGATGCCTGCTGAGAAGAGAAATTTCTCAACTTGTGAACTCAGATGCTATGGCAGGTGTCCTACTGGAGCATCAGACACCGTGACATAAGGAACACACAATGCAAAGGGAAAAACTAACAAAAAGTCAGGGTTTTGTATCCTTGGGACAGCTAGCTTAATGTGTGATGCAAAACTGCTACTACTTGTGGTCAATTAACTTGGGCTGGAAATTTACCCTTGGCTTGGTTCACAGTTTCATGGAGATTCAAGATAATCTAAAGAGACTAGGGCCTTAACCTTCGGGCCAGGTGAACATCTTTTCCCAAGGGTTAAGCAGAAGCCATGTAGAGCCTGTTTGATTTAGGGAAGGCAAGGAGGGCTGAACAATTCCAGAAACAGAGAGAAATTTCTTCCCAGCTGACACATACCTTGATCTGATACAGATAATGTGAAAACCCATTTTGATGCAAAAATCTACGGATCATTTGAAAACCATGTGGACAAACTTTATGGAAACTTTGAGCAACTGCCAAGAGGAGTCAGAAAGGCTAGGAAAACGTCCTGTGTGTCCCCTGCCTTTTCTGTGTGCCTGCCTTCCCTTGCTGAGTCTCCCTTCCCTAACTGTGTGTCCTCTTTAGTAATTTTGTTTGGTATGTTTTAAGCTAACCCTGTTTTATCTTCTCACAAAACACATTTATGGGGCTGAGAGGGAAATAGGAAATACCACGTGGACTCCAACTGAATACTTTTGCAATTTTCCGTCCTACCTCAAGTTTGGAGCAAATGGGACTTGCACACTCTCAGCAGTGAAGCATTTGGAAAATATGCCTATCATTCACTTTTTACAGAACCACTCTTCCCATGAAGCAATAGTCAGATTCTCATGAATTTCCCTAATAAATTTATGTTTCATAATGGTTCAAAGACATTCCCGCATTGTTTGCACTTGATACTTTGGCCCCAGGCCAAGAATGCAGGTAGAACATTTAGTGGCCATCTGTAATGCAGAAACTGGCAGGAAGAATGTGTAACACAAATAAAGGCAGGAGACAGTTCCTGTACAGTGATGAAGAGCAAAATAAGGAAGCCCAGAGTGTGGAGATTGCTTGAGAGCAGATACGGCCCACGGTGCCGGAAAATCAGTTCCACCGCAGAATGCAAAACCAAGACAATGAAGTGTGAGCAGAGGAGGGAACCATATTCTTCATTTTATTTCCTTAATTGCAATTTAATCATTTCCCACAGTTTCTAGAACATTCTTCTTCATTAGCTATCATTTAAATAAGGGGAAAACATTTCACCGTAAAAAGAAAAAAATGAAATGATAGATTTCAGCCCAAATGTTACATAATCTGAGTGGGAAGGTGGCAAAGAACATGAGGCCTGAGACAGTGTTACAAACCAAATCAAAGTGTCCTGAACATGTAAATGGCAGGCAAAACAATACATAATCGCCCAACAGTTCTCAACTTTTTATCAACCCTTTGCCTCTCTTCTATAAGATTCTGTACCTATAATTACATAGCTGTTGACAGATCACTATCCGACTCAAATGCCATCACAGTCTCAATATGCATCGTCCTAAGTTACACTCAAATTCTGTTCAGTGCTGTCAATTCATTAACCACAAAGACGTTAAGCCCCGTCTCCTAGGGAGAAACCTGGACAACATTTATACAAGAGATTTAAAGTTTGAAAAATTGTGTCATAATTGTAGTAACACCTTTTCCATTTAGAGTAACCCTTTGGAAAAATTTTTTACATGCTACCCAAAGGCACTAGTTCACATAAGGGTGTGTGATGGAAACAAAAAGAGAGAGAAGTAGAATAAATCTATAGCGAAGGTAAGGAACACAATAAAGAATATTAAAAGGACATCACTAAGCCTTAAAGTCATTTGAAAAATGGCACTTTTCACGTTGGTATAAAATGAAAGTGCTTCAAAATGAACTCTGTATCAATTGTTTTTAAAGCTGATCTTCAGTCCCCTGAAAATAGGGGGCATCTTGAGAACATGAATACACCAAAATGTAGTAGCCATAAGAAGTGGATGTCGCTAACTGCCTTGCGTGTGTTTATTTTTACTTCGAATGTTGATAGTCTTGCTTTATCTGTGTGTCATCAGTGAGGTTTGCTCTCCAATTCTTACTAGAAAGGTACAGCTCATTGAAAATAGCTGGTAGACACAGAAAGCATAAATATACAGTAAGTTTAAACACTGATTGTACTAAATGCAACAATACAAAGAAGCAAACAAAAACACAAATGGTAACACAATAAAACTGTATTACATTTGTGCTTCAGATATTACAATACATTATATACAATAGTCCAAAATAAACATCTCATGCCAAGTGACACAAAAAATGAATAGCAAGCAAAAAAATCCAGGAATATATACATTACTTTTCTGTCTTTAATAATGAACATTCAACTCTTGAACGGGGGCAATCTCACTACGTACAGATGCGGTCCGCCTTTTCTTCCACATGGCCATCCTGCTGTCCTATCACTACCCTATTTAGTAGGTTCCTGTGTCAATTCTTATATACATGTGTGAGCAAAAAAGATAAAGGATGTAGTGCTTTGTGCTGTCGGGGGTGATGCCGACGGATCAGCGGACCTGCGGTGCGTAACCTTCTTTCATTAGGCCTTCCTCATAGTCCGTCTGGCAGAGAATCATGTTATTCTTCAAGAAAAATTTGTCTCCGACACAAAATCTGAAAGTATACAAGCATAAAGTGTGTAAGATTACTGAAATCCAAATGACTGTCTTAGGAAGTTACTTTTACTATAAAAGTTGAAATTGTCTTATACCACTCATTAACACAACCTTCGAAAGTCACCTTCATGTGTAAATGACATAGAAATAGCAAGGTAGACATTCTGGGCACCAACGATGATATTCCTTATTTCTTCCCTTTTCTCTTTTTCTTTTCTGTACCACACTGGCAAGAAGAAAATATTTGATCCATATACACTCTTACTAAAGTAAAATTGAATATGATATCAATTCTTACTGGTCATGATCATGAACAACTTTATACTGGTCCTTTGTCCAGTTAATACAAACCATAACAGGCATTACAGTGAACCAAAGAATTAGGAAATGGCCCAGATTAAAGTTTTCTATCACAGATTCCCTTTAACTCTTAGAAATTTGGAAGGGCCTACTGTCCAGTGAAAGGTCCCTGCCTGAGTGTCCTGAGACTGAGCTATCTTCTTCCTCCATGGCAAGTTCCCCTGCTATGAAATCGTAATGTCACTTCCTCGAAGGCTTCCCATTAAGACAGAATAACCTGGATGAACTTCCTAATATTGATGTGATAAATAAAACCAGCTCCCAGCAGGAAATCATGAATTTTACTTTATGAAGCATTGCTTAAAGTGCAAGATTGTAATGTCTTTAATAAGTACTCGTTATATATAGTTTCCCAGTGGGTGATACTATGGACACAACTGAGGTCAAAAGTAAATGCTTGTGCTGTTTCCAGTACATTTAACAATAAAGTAAGTCTGGGGAGATCCGTGTGTGTGTATATATATTTAACTGTAACAATTGAATGGGCAAACAGCAGTGTTTGGTAGAGTTGACTGAGAACAACTCTGTAATTATACAGGTCGACCTCTGTGACCTTTAGTGGTGGTCATTCTTTATCAGACAGTCAATTCTGAATGATGATCAGGCAGAAATATTCGTGGATGGGTTAAACAGTGAAGTGAAAGCCACCCTCTAATGCTCTGCAAAGTTAAAGGTTTAAATGAGGGGAACTTGGACTGATTTACATTTGCAAAGATTGGAATTCTAGACAAACAGTGAATCTATTTATTTTCCATCCAGGCAGCTTTGGAAATTTATCCTTATGCTCGCTAAGTAGATAGAAGGGAAAATAGTGTAATAAAAAAAGTAGATTGAAAAGAATTAGCTCCCCTCTTAAAGGAAAATTGGTCTGTTTATTTGTGGAATTTACTTTTCCCCGGGATTACTGCCTACTGCTGATGTTGGTTTAAAGTAGAGGCTCAGCTCTGGTCTTGAAATCCTGGATTTGTTTGCTGCTGCATCTTTTGGACAAGATGCACATTTAAGTTTGGGACTTTGAGTGTATTTTCCTTTTTTTGCTAGATTTAGCCTGTATGCTTTAAATATTGCACTTAAACAGTGATGTTTAGTTCATTGGTTTATATGGATATCAGGAACATGAAGGCATGTTGGATAAATGAAAATATTCTTTTATTTGGACAACCCTTAGGAGCCCAAATTTGGCTTTTATCTTTTATGAAAAATTATGTGAAACAGCAATAAAGACATATTTAATGAGTGTTTAAGAAAGTCTGTTTATATTGCTGCTGAAATTAATTTCAGCTCATTAATAATATAATAACCTATCTGAATGAATACATTCAGCAAAGCATTCCTGTCTGCTTCTTGTTATTGAGCTGGCTTTCCTACAATGCAATTTATCTGAAGACTTCAATATCCATTGTCTTTAACTTTGTTTAATTTCTTATCAGGAACTCAAATTCTAATAGTCATCATATGATGGGATTCTGTCATCCCGTCCTGTCCTGTAGCATCCTGTCATTCTGAGCTCAGAGTCCTTTAAGACAGAATATTTTATTTTGTAGGTGAGTAATATTAAGGTTGTCCTGGGGACTTTGCTGCATGTTCTGCCTCTGTCACATACCTGATGCAGGCCTGGGTGCATGCCACTCTTTCCCTACCTAGATGAAGATGCAGCATCCAACTAGAGGCAGTTACCATGAAAAGCACAGGGAAAGCAGAAAAATCAAACTGCGGGGGACATGCTCCAGATTCTAGCCTTCTACCGTGTCAAAGACAAAGCTTCCCCTTTTGGTCATGTGAAATGTTCAGACTTGTTTCTCACATCCAGCCCAACAGTTCAGTACACCCTGGGCTCCTACCACAATGCCAAGGGCCTGTGTGGGTTGACGCAGCCTGAGGAAATGCGGGCAACTGAAGACACTTCATCTGTTTGTTGGTCCCTGACCACTTCTTTCACCCAGGCCAGGACAACGTGAAGAGTGAATATAAGTTTATTTGTTTGCTAGCTTTCATTTCCTTGCAACGGAGTCTCCCTCTGTTGCTTAGGCCAGCCTACAACTGAAGCACACACTGGCCTCAAACTTAGAGCAATCATCATGCCTCAACCTCGAGAATGCTGCTATTACAGGAATAAACTGCCACACCCACACCTATAATGTTTGCATTGTTGTATTCTCTTGTGCATTTTCATAAATCTAACTGTCACTAGATGAGATATACATATCATACATCCTATTGACTAACTAGTACAGAGAGAGACAGAGAGACAAATGGATTAATTATCTGAAAGTGAGAGAAAATACATCAAAATAGTAAAGTATTCCTTTCTGAAAGGTTGCATAATTAATATCCTAAAAACTGGAAAAGTATATAAATACATTTCAATCTATATGTGAAGGATAAAAATGATACAGAACATGGGTTAAAAGTGTCACAGTCACACCTAACTTAGACAACAATGTAAACAGTGTTGGCAGTGGAGCAGACCATGGCTATGTAATTGAAATCACCATTGTCCCTAAAAAATGTCCCTTATAGGGGCTGGGAAGATAGTCAAGTGCTTGCCACACAAGAATAAAGATCTGAGTTCAATCCCCAGCACACAGATAAATGGTCTGGCATGCTACTTCTTGCTTACTGCCCTAGAACTGAGGAGGCTGAGACAGGAGGATCCCTGTTGCATGCTGATCGCTTGTTTAACTGAACTGGTGAGCTTGAGAATCAATGAGAGACTCTGCCTAAAACAATACAGTGGAGAGAACACTGCCACAGAGGACACTTGCCGTCAGTCTCTGCTCCCCTTCCCCCGCCAGGCACACCCACATGTGCACTCATCCACATATAAGTGTTCAAGCAGACAAGATGCAGGAGTGCATTGCACACATGTACATACACACACTCAAACGTATTACAATCAAATATACAGACATGAAGAAATTAGAAAATAACAATGTAGCTATTGAATGCTCAGCAAAGTAAGTGGTAACTTTAATTTAGCAAGGTAAAGCTAATTTCCAACATCATATAACCTGCTTCTTATGGATTCAACATTTTTAGATTTAAAAAAATCACTTTGAATGTGGTGATGGCTAAAGAATGTTGTAAGTTATTAACAGGTTAGATTAAACCTCGTGAACTCCCACTCATCATCTTCCTAGCCATCCAGTCGGAAATGCTTGTGGGATGGTCAACTCTATTAGTTTTATCCTCCTTCAAAAATTACTAAAAAAGGAAAAAGGATGTCAATTAGGTTATTAACTAATCTAATGTTCATATGTGGAAATTCAGAATGCATTTAATTTTAAGCTGAGGATGAGTCTAGCTGACTTCAGAGAGTTTTTTCAGTTCTGGGAAGCGTAAGAATGAAGTGTAATTAATTTTAGAACTTCTGTTCTAAAATGGGGAGCAGTTCCCCTTTTATATTTTTATTGACTCTTTGAAAATTCAGCACAATGTATTTTAAACATTTTCTCCCTCTTGGTGTCCCCTTGCCTCCCTCTCAAGTCTCCCACCCCATCCAGTTGGAGCAGGTTATCAATCTGGTATGTATTCCCAACATTTCTATTTCTCACTCAGCATTCGTATCCACTAAAGGACAGCGTGTTTCTTACAGCAGTATTCAGCAAAAGGCATTTGCCAATCCCTACACCTGTGGACAAATGTCCTGTTTTTCTCCCATTGACAGCCCAAGTGTCATTGCATATCTCACTCCTTACAATCCTTTCAGCATCGATCCATATCCTGAATCCTGCTACAAATTATTCAAAGTCAACTCTACCTTAGCCCTGCAGGATCAATTTATACTTACATATTCTTAGTCAGAAAACACCATGCTCTTCTGAAATCTGTCTGCTCCAGAAAGGAAAATCCTGATTTGCTTGGTTTAAATCTTGAGTTGATCACTCACTATCTTGAGCAGAGACTTAAGTTTTTCTGTACATCTTCTATGTCTGTATAATGTTACCTTTATGTACATTTTTAGGGCTGACCATCTGTCATTGGATAACCAACAAACTGGTGTGCTCTTCCTAATGGAAGACTATTTCTCTTGCTCTAATCTTTCCTTAGTTACTTGTAGTTCTTTGGATCTGGTTGAGGCCTCTTGGGCTTTCCCAACTCAATGTTAGCATGTCTATTGTGTGTGCAATTAATGACAACCTTTTCAGTCTGTAATTATATGTAATATACATGATAGGAATATGTATTTAATTATATATATATCAACAATTAATGAAAGGAAGATGGATTTTAAAACAAGCAAAGAAGACTATATGGAAGAGTTTGGAGGAAGGAAAAGGAAGGGGAGAATGATATAATTAAAATCTCAGAGAAATAACAAAAAAAACTTCTGCACTCCTATTTGTTTGCCTACCCCAGAGGCTCATATAATCATCTTCATAATGGTCATTTTGGGAATTAAATGACACTGCTATGCATATATATATATATATATATATATATATATATTAAAAGCAATGAAACTCATGTAGGTGTCTATCTCCCTGGCCCCTCTCTGTCTCCCTTTCTCTGAGTCTCCCTCCCTCCCTCCCTCCCTCCCTCCCTCCCTCTCTCTCTCTCTCTCTCTCTCTGCACGTGGATATTACTGAGTATGGAGGGAAGCTCTCAACTGCAATGCCACTCTTCAAGAGCCGTCCA